ATTATGTGTCTGTCAGTACGTGTCAAACCATCATACTGAATCCCTTCAACATTTACTGTCAATTAAAGTTTCTGTCAATTAAAGTTTCCAAGCCAAATATAAAATATTATGAAGTTAATTAAATGGTAAAAAGGACTTAAAGGTTCCTCTCTGTGTGCCTTTTTTTAGTTAGGGATTCTTTTGCTGTGAAGAAATACAATGTCCAAAAGCATCTTGAGGAAATGCTTTATTTCATCTTACAGCTTGTAGTCCATTATCTAAGAAGAGGGCAGAAATTACAGAAAGTAAGGTGCTGATGCAGAGGCCATGGAGAAGTGCTGCTTACTGACTTGCTACTCATGGCTTGCTCAGTCTGCTTTCTGATAGCACCCAGGACCACCGAGTCCAGAGGTGGCTCCATTTACAATGTGACGGGCCCTCCCACATCAATCGCTAGTTGAGAAAATACCCTACAAGCTCGTGCACATCCCAATCTGATGAAAGCATTTTCTCAATTGAGGATCCTTCCTCTAGCAAGTTTGTAATTGACAAAAATGAACCAGTGCAGCCTCCCTCTACTGAAAAGACCACGATAGCATCAGCTTCCCTTTGCCTCTCTTTACAGTTTCTGTCATTTTTTTTATCATATATCATAAGTATAATTTTTGTTCATTTGGACATTGTATAAAAGAACTCAACACACACATATGAATGCTTTCCTGATATTTCATTCACATCATTCATTTTTACTTTTCCTACAGTTCATTTATTTCTCTGCTGCAGTGTTCTATTACATTACAATCTATTCATTTAAAAACTTTCCCCAAGTCCGGGTGGTGGTGGTGCACGCCTTTAATCCCAGCACTCGGGAGGCAGAGCCAGGTGGATCTCTGTGAGTTCAAGGCCAGCCTGGTCTACAGAGCGAGATCCAGGACAGGCACCAAAACTACAGAGAGAAAGCCTGTCTCAAAAATAATTTTTTTTCCCCCAGGCTGGAGAGATGGCTCAGCAGTTAAATGCACCTACTGCTCTTCCAGAGACCAGAGTTCAGTTCCTACCATGCACTCTGGGGAAGCTCACAATCTCCTGTAACTCCAGATCAAGGGATCTGACACCCTCTTCTAACATCTGTGGGCACTGCATGCATGTTTACATAAAATAAATCAAAACCCCCTTTCTCTTTCTCTAGTGTTTTATGGTTGAAATACATTATGGTGGACATAAATCTCTTCTTCTTTACTCAATTTGGATATACTGAACTTTGCCATTCAATAAAATGGAATATTTCATTGGTTCAGTTAAGTTGCTTGCAACTATTGTCTCTTCTCTGTTTTCTGACCTACCTATTGGGATTACATGGATGAGAACACTTTCATTATACAATCTACCAACCTTATCTATTGTTTGTCTCTATGCACTGTATTCTGGATGGTTTCTATTTCATACAGCTCTTCAGTTCAAGAAATCTCTCTACACTTAGATCTAACCCACAGATGAAACTGTTTCTCTCCAGTTCAATGATTATATTATTCTTTAATGAGATTTTGTTGTACCATTGTAATAAATAGACTTTTCATTCTTTAAAGTTGCTCTTCCTAAATATTTTAAAGTTTCGTAAATGTGGATATGTTTATTCCATTTCTGATGCTGACAGTACTAGGACCCCTCTGAGTCAATGTCTACTCATGACCCTGCTGGCTGACATTTATGATTTGTTTTCTTGTCTGTTCAATGATTTGAACATTTAAGAGTGAGTTTACCTTAAAACTTTAGCAAACAGGTGAGGCAGCCATGGATTTTATTTCAGGTCAACTTTTTATCTAATCCCCTCATTCCACATTTCCAGGGAAAATGAGTGCTGGTCTTTGTGCTTTAGCTGCTGCTTTTTAGATTCCCTCAGTAAATCAGTTTTCTGACTCTATCCTGTCATACTGCCAGAGATAAGTTCACGTTAATTATTTCATTAAAACCACATGCTACTGCTGTGGATCCAAGTACTGTTAATTTGGAAGCATAATTATTGCTTAGAGAGACCCTGAATAGTTTTAGATGCTTAATAGATACAAATTCCTTATGAAGGAGAGCAATCCCCTGTACCAAGTACACACTGTTCTGTTCTCTCCATCCTGACAGGAATATCCTTGAAGATATATGTGTGTTTATCAAATGGCTCTTTTTTTTAGAAGTATAGAAAGCTCAACAAGAATCTTTCCATTTTTTTCAGGGCTACCTTCAAATATTGCATTGTTAAGAGACAAAACATGATATAATTTCTAAATGACCTATCTGTCAATATTACTTTATGGGACATAAAATGGTAGGAATTCTAGACAATGGTGCATTTGTCTGTATTAACTGTCAAGTTCTCCTAATGAGGGTTCTGCTGTCAATGACCATTTTCATATTAAGCATTTTTAAGAGATCTTACTCCTTCATTTATGTTTCTGTGTCTGTGAGGTTTGCCACATATGTGGGCTGCTTGAGGAGTCCCGAAGGGCTTCAGATCCCCAGGAGCTGGAGTTATAGGCAGTTAGAAGCCAACTACCATGATGCTATCTGAAAAGCAGCAAGCATTTTAACAGTGAGCCATCTCTTCAGCCCCATTCATACAAGATTTCCAACCAAGCTATACTTTCATAATAATAATATAGACACACACACACTCACATATATATACACATATATTTGTACTTTGTTAATGTAAGTTCTTTAAGAATGAGGAAGGTAATAAAATTTGCTGAGCAGCTGCAAGTTGTTCTTATGAACTTCATCACAATCCTGTGAAATTCATGGTAATATTTCTATTTTCTAGGAAAGAAAACATGTACTTATGACAAAATTAAGATTAAACCAACTATACATGACTATTAAAACAGAAAGCTTTTAAAACTAAAATAGAATACTTTTAAAACGAAATTTATTACGCTATATTAACTTTGATGAATTTAGTTACAGAACCTCATAGTCAAAAGGGATTACCAGTGAGAGACCCTTAGGGAGGTACCTATCACTGAATCCCTGAGCCAGATAAAATCTGATCCTCACAACTCATTTTGATTAAATTTGAGTGTGTGTGTCATACGCATGTTACAGTGACTATGTGGAAGTCAGGAACAAATTGGAGGCATTGGTTCTCTCCCTTCTACCCTGTGGGGCCTAGGGATTGAACTCAGGCTGTAAGATGTGTTGGCAATTACCTTTACCCCAAGTCATCTCAATAGCCCACAACTCATTTTTAATAATGGAATGTGGTATAGCTTCTTTGTAGATTAAAAGCACACACACACAAAGAAGATAGTAACAACTCACGCACACATTATTTTAGGATGGCATGGTCATGTTCTAGCATTTCATTTAGTATCAGCTTGGAGACAACAAGAGACAGGGAGCTCAAGGAACAACTTCATCTTAGGAAATTCATACATCTGACATATATGCCTCTGCTTAAGGTAAAACTTTACTATTTAGAAGAGAGTTCTATTACCACAGAGCATATTCTAGCCACAGATTATTTAATTCATCAAACTATAAATAGCATTAACTTATCATCATACTGCTTTCTTAATTTGAAGGTAACTTTAAACTCTATATCATTTCTCCAGTTTGGTTAGTCTGGTATCTTCTCAAAGGCACTGCATGTTTAGATCCTAGCCTTGAACTGCTTAAACACAGTGTAGGTATGATTAAATGCTATACTCACAGAGAGAGCTTTATTCTTAAAACTGGCACGTGGAATAAGAAAATCAAGTAGTAATAAGTGAATTTATATCATATAAATAGAAAGGAAGACAACCTAACGCAAGAGACTTGTAACCACACAGCACAGACAAACAAACAGCAATGCCCAAGGCTGTGGAGATGGCTCAGCATTTAGAAGTACTGTCTGCTCTGCAGAGGGTGAGCATTCAGTTCCTAGTGTCCACAGGGGATGTGACCTCCCCTGGCCTCTAAGGGCTCCTGTAAACATTTGATATATATAAAACTCGCATAAAGCATACACATATAAAAATTTTAAAAAGAAAAGGCATGTGCCTTTAATCTGAACACTTGAGAGGCGTGGGCAGGTAGATCTTCGTGAGTTCAAGGACAATATGGTTTACTTATCAAGTTCCAGGCCAGCAAAGGCTATGTAATGAGACCCTGTCTCAAAAAAACCAAAAGATCCAGTGTCCATGAAAACTATAATATCTGAATTTTGATGGCAATCTTTGCTATTCTGAAATAGCAATTGGATCTCCTGAACAAAACTCAGGACACACACTATAACTGTGATTTAAAATTATATTATAAACTGGATTATACTGTGAGGAGATCAGTCTGTTTAGCATGTCAGCTTACTTCTGTGGATGTATAGCCTTCCTTAATGCACACCTAAGCTTATCAACTTTTCATGGGACATTTAAAATATTTTTCTTCATTTTTAAGATTATAATATGATTATATCATTTCTCTCTTCCCTTTCCTTCTTCCCATCCTCCATATACCCCAAATAATTATACCATTTCTCCCTTCCCTTTCCTACCCTCAAACTCTCCCATATGCCCCTCCTTGCCCACTTTCAAACTCACAGCCTCTTTTCTCATTAATTCTTATTGCATATATATATATATATATATATATACCTAAATTATATTCCTGATACATATTCCATATATACACACACATACACACACAAATATATTGCACACACTATATTCCTAATATAGCCTGCTCAGTCTGTATGTTTTCAGGGCTGACCATCAGTACTGGACAACCAACTGTTGTGTTCTTCCCTGGAGAAGACTATTCTCCCACTCTCAACAGTCCTTAGCATTTCAACAGCATATAGTATTTCCAGAGTGCTCCACCACAGGAGTACTACAAGGCATTCTTCTGTTTACCATAAAAAAAGAACTTCCTGATTCAGAAATGACTTTTCTAGGGACATGGATTTTTTACTTGGATGTAGTTTCAGGGTGGCAGAACTGTGTTGAATGGCAGTGTTCTCTGGACAGATCAAATGTGTGTAGGCTCACTCTTACCTGCTTAAACAGTTGAAGGTTAACTGCAGTTTCCAGGAACTGTTTCATCACACTAGAGCGGTGCTTTACAAAGCTCTCCTCACAGAAGGTGATGGGCTCACCCTAGACAGAAATAAAGATTTTTGGGACATCAATAAAAGGTCAGTCACAGAGAACTAGTCTTTTTAGGAAATACATTGAAGGTCACAGGGGGATATGTGATACAAAACTAATAAACCAATCCCACATTGTGGCCCAAATTAGTAGAAATAGCCCTGTACTGAAAATCCTGTACAACAGGCCCTGAAGCTCTTAAAACTGCTCAATTTCAGTCCCTCAGGAAGGAGTAAGTCCCCTAAACGCAAATATTTGACGCTGTTAGATTGAATTTTAAGTGTAAAATGTCATGTATACTTGAAAAAGTCTACAAATCCCTTTTGTTGATGATTGGACAACATTCTTTTTATCAAGTCTGATTTCCTCTTTTTGTGGTTGTTATGCATGAGTGTTTTGGTTGCATGTATGCATGCTTGATGCCTTTGGAAGTCAGAGGAGGCCATCAGATTCCCTGGATCTGGAATTACAAATGGTTGTGAGACATCATGTGGGTGCTGGGAATTGAAAACAGGTTCTCTGCAAGAGAAGTCAGTGCTCTTGACCACTGAGTCATTTCTCCAGCCCCAACAACATTCTTGCTGTAAAGGCTGCTGCCTGATTTTGCCACTTATATTACTCAGGATCTTTGGTTTTCAAATAATGGAAGTTTTTATAATCACCTTCTCTTAATGACTACAAATACAATTCTGACTCAATATTCTGGAGTAAGTTCCACTTGGTGATGGTCTTTGTGCTAAGCAAACATACCTTTGAAGTGTCTGATGGGTACTCTACAAGATGTTGCTTCTCTCCATCAACAAGGGCGTACACTTCACACCCTACAGACTGCATTTGCTCCAGTTACTCTCATATGGCTGCAGAGTCATCATTGCTGGCTGATTCCTCCCAATGCCAATCTCCCAACACTTCAATAGTTCACTGCCCTAACTGATACACAAAGACACACACACACACACACACACACACACACACACACACACACACACACACACACACAAGTGATGATATTTCATGATCAAAATGAAAGTAGAGACTAATGACAATTCATTCGCTAGAATTTTGTTATGTTGCAGTAAAGAGTTAAAAAGCATGCTAGAATTCTGAAAAGCTGTCAATTATAACTTAATTGTCAAAGAGACTCAGAGCTCTGATTTATAGGAATCTATAAGTAAAATGCTAGAATTTGGCTCTGGCATGGACAAGAGTATGAGTCCCTTCACATTAACCTTGAACTGAATGGCATAAAAACAGGAACTTGCCGGGCGGTGGTGGCGCACGCCTTTAATCCCAGCACTCGGGAGGCAGAGGCAGGCGGATCTCTGTGAGTTCGAGGCCAGCCTGGGCTACCAAGTGAGTCCCAGGAAAGGCGCAAAGCTACACAGAGAAACCCTGTCTCGAAAAACCAAAAAAAAAAAAAAAAAAAAAAAAAAAAAACAGGAACTTGGCTTGGGATCTTTTTGTAAAATTATACTTGTGTGTTCTATGTGTGCATCTGTGATGTAAGAGATAGATGCTAGGCTGTCAGGTGTCTTCATCTATTGCTTTTTATCTTGTTTGTGAGACAGAATCTCTCACTGAACCTGTAGCTGACTAATCTCCATGCTCCTCAACCCCTGCACCCCAAGCTAGGATGTCAGATGCAGCACACCCAGTTTTTGACTGAATGCTGAGGATCTGAACTCAGGTCCTGATGCTTGAGCAAAAAGTACTTTACCCTCAAGCCATCATCAACCAAGTGTGCTTGCCTTGTCAGAGGCCAGAAGTAACAGGAATAATCAATGATAGCCTGGAACCTTCAAAATGATGAGCCAAATTACAACATTCTGACTTTAACATTCCTTTATTTTATGTGTGTAGATGTATGCCTGCATGTATGTCTACTATGTGAGTGGTGCCTGCTGAGAGCAAAAGAATGCATCAGAGGCCCTGGAGCTGGAGGTGCAGATGGTTGTGATCCACCATGTGGGTATCTGAAACCAAACCCTGGTCCTCTCGAAGAAGGATGAATTCAATGCAATGGACTGACTTGCAGGGTAGAGGAAATTTTAAGACAGTATAGAATAAAGGATGTAACAAGCTTACTGTTCAGTGCTTTTAGCTAGGTTAATACTGAAAATTCTGAGCAAAACACAGAGCATAAAATGTAAACAACATGTAACCTGCCAAGGATGTAGATCAGTTGGTAGAACACTTGCCTAGCATGCATTGAAGCCCTAGGTTCAATCTCTAGCACCACATAAACTGAGTGTGGTGGTGTACCCCTATAATCTCATCATGTGAGAGGAGGATGCCAGAGGATCAGAAATTCAGAGTGGTGGAAGGCACAAACGCTCTTGTGCTCACAGATCAGCACTAGGGGAACCAGGGATGTTAAACACACAGGGATGTTGTGGTGGTTTGAATAGGTATGGCCCCCACAGACTCATGTGTTTGAATGCTTGGCCCATAGGAAGTGGCACTACTAGGAGGTGTGGCTTTGTTGGAGTGGATGTAACCTTGTTGGAGTATGGGTGACCTTGGAGGAAGTGTGTCACTGTGGAGGCAGGCTTTGAGGTCTCATATATGCTCAAGCCATGCCCACTGAGACAGTTTTTCCTTCTGCTGCCTGCAGATCAATATGTCTGACTCTTAGCTCTTTCTCCAGCACCATGTCTGCCTGCATGCCACCATGTCCCACCATGACGATAATGGACTGAACCTCAGAAATTGTAAGCCAGCCTCAATAAATGTTTTCTTTATAAGAGTTGCATGGCCATGGAGTTGCATGGTCATGGTGTCTCTTTACAGCAATAGAAGCCCTAACTAAGACAGATGTTTCTTCAAAGAGAGAGGTGTATAAGCTGTTTTCCAGCGGAAGTCTAGGGCCAGAAGTGGTTAACAGCCTAGTGACCATTGCACTGTGTGGCCGAGCCCAGACTTTTCCCCAGGTGCTTACCATGAGCTTCTTTTTCTCAATCTATAGAACCTATCTTTATGGAAGATGTCACATGTACTTTACAACGAGTTTCAATGTAGTCAAATCTTCAGCTTTGGTTCACATGGGATTGAGTTATTATTGCCAGGAAACTTTTCACTAAATTGTGTTTTGCTTAAAAATGCCTAAATAAATGATGCAGGGTCAGACTCCCAAAGTCTGAACCAACACTAGCTACCGAGTCAGGATGAACCAAGCTGCCTTCTTGCCTCCTGATGATCATTACTGTGCTGGCTGTGGTGGTTACAAAGACACACACACCATCCCCCACCCCCCCACTCCCACTGCATGGTATCATCTTTGGCTGTATATTGTTTGTTGAGGCCAGCCTGGGCTGAGGAGCCTGTCCTAAGAGGAGATGAAAGGAGGGGAGGGGAGGAGAGGAGAGGGCGGGGGGGGGGGGGGCAAAGGAGGTAAGGCGTGAGATCAAGATAACTGCATGCGTTGCACAGGGACCTTGAGAACAAGACTTTACCCATCAAAGGATCCAAACTCATTTCACAAACTTTCATTTAAAACGAGAGTGTCTGAAAATGAATGCCCAAGCACAGAATGGTCCTACAGGGCATCTTGCTTAGAGCTACCTAGATGATTGTTTTGCCAGGTTCAGTTAGACGGGCCCTCAGTGATTACTATACCAACAGTTCATAGGGCCCCAGATGTATCTTATCCTGGCAGGAGAACTGTTGTCAACCACAAGATGCTGATTATAAGGACATGAGAAATGTAAAAGTTATGGGGATGGAGGTTTGCACCCATCAGTGCAAGAAAACAATCGGCAAAGGCAGACAACTTGTAGCGGAGTTGGATTCACCGCAGCCTGAGACACAATAGAGTCCAGGGCGTAGTTGTCGAGAGTATAGGATTTCTCCTAGAGAGCTACAGGCACCCACAGGACGTGATACGAGAGAACCTATACGTGTTATAGGTGATACGCACACAGAGATGGGCCTACCTAAGCCACTGGAGCCCAGGTAATGTCAGCACTAGCCCACACATGTCAGACATAGAGCTTCAGGTTTAGTGGGCACCCTGCTGGATTCTGGATTTCTTTGATCCAGAATTTCCCACAATCATTCTTCCATTTTGGAATGGGAACTTTTTTTTTTCTTCTGTTTAGTTGTATACTGGAAATGTACAGCTTGGTTTTTCTTTTACAGTGGTTCATATCTAACAGTTTAGAGACTTTCGGATTTGGGTTTTTGAACCGTCCTCAGACTGGTAAGACCATAAGAACTCTGAAGTAATATGAATTGTTTGGTACATTATCATATAGCTGTGAACCCTGGGGGCTACAGGCAACATGATATAGTCTAACCTATCCCTACAGGCTCATTTGTTTGAGTACTTGATCCTCAGCTGAGGTGGGGGAGCCTTAGAAGGCTATGGAATCTTTGGGATCTGAGACCCAGCTAGCAGAAATGGCCAGCTTTGTGGGTTTTATTTGCTTTTGAGTGAAGCCCAGCTCATTCCTTATGTACCAGATGTAAGGAGCCTCTGCTACATGTACCCTTGTCATGAATTTCACCACTTACTTCCCGTCAGGCCTCTCTGCGCTAAATAAATCTTTCTTTGATAAGTTGCTTCTACTCTGTCACAGAAGAACAATATCTAACATCCTGTGCAAACAGCCCAAGAAGTAGAACTATTTTTGTCTCAAAAAGAAAACCAAAGCACTAAGAGTTCAACTTGCATGAAATCATAAAGCACCTCAGTTCAGGATTCAAGCATAGATCGCATGGTTCCCAGGTATTATGCACTTAACAATTTTCTTTAAGTCATAGAGCATAGAAGTTCTAAGTCATATATTTGCATTCTTAAAAATTAGCTAACTTATTGCTGGCTAAAATAAAAGAAAAAAACTACCTGCTACTCTTTGTAAATCTCTTTACTATAACTATATTTAGTTCTATATCTTTCTCTTAAGGAAGAGCAAGAACAATTACTTTTTCAATTATACAAGCATGCTATTTACAAAACATAAGCTGGGGACCGTAAGAAAATTAGAATTGCTTCTCAGACATCTTAAATT